ATTTGGCTTCAATTTCCAAAAATGGCAACTTTGTGAACAAGACCTCACGCGTGAAAAAAGTGTAGAAGCAATCAACAAATCTTAAGTCTTAAATGCTCTTCTAATCCAAGTTCTAGAGTGTGAGACATTACACTCCAGAACATCAAAATGCAACTTAAGTTCCTTGAGTATCCAAAACTCCAAGGAAAATTACCCAAGTTTGAGCATAAAAGCACATTCCAAAAATCTTCATTAAATATAGACCCTTCATAAAATCGAGCCATTTCAGAAAATCGAATTCGGATCACTTCATGATCATTCCCCAAATATGAATATCCAAAAATTTTCGATTTCGAATACCCATATCATAATCTCTCCCTCTTTTGTGATCGAGATGTGATTATAAAACTCCAAATGGGAATGAGAAAGTGCTAAATATGGATTTGGCAATACAATTTTCCCCCTCGATATCAGACAAAAATGAGACATCAAATCCGGAAAATTCGAAAAAAATATGTCAATTTTCGAAACCTTTACTTATCAGATCGCTTTTCACCCGAAAATGAACATAATAGGTTCATGTTGCTGGAAAGCATTTTGAAAAAATAACAATCTTAAAAAATCCCAAAAAATCTCCAAAGGTTGCAAAGATTTTAATGTTTAGGTAAGAATTGTCATTTTTCTGAAACTGCAAGGACCAATTGTGTAACATTATGAGTCTTTTTCCGCCTTTAGTTCTAGATGCAAGAACGAACAATAGTCTTCCCATACCAAATGAACAAATACCTCAACCAAATGTGAATCGTTTTCATCCCATTGAAGCATAGGCTTCCCTTAAGAAAATCACATATAGGCTTCCTATATGAAAATCTCATATATGCTTCCCATAAGAAAATCATTTTCGTTCTCAAGTCTTCAACTCAGATATCGAATCATAGATGTTGTTTGTTGTCATCGTTAGGGGTGTTTGGGATAACTTTTTCAGCTCAAAAGTCCTTTTTATAAAAGGACTTTTTGTAAAAGGTCTTTTTCCAAAAGTTATGGTTTAAAATGTGTTTGGATGGTAAAAAGACAAAAGTTGCTTTTAAGAAGTACAAAAGTCCCAAAAGTCATGTTTTTGTGACTTTTGAAATCAGCCTTTTTTCCTCTCGCTCAAAAGTTGTTTAAAAAGAACTTTTTAACTTAGACAAACATCTTTTGCACTTTTTTGACTTTTTCTGAAAAGTCAAAAGGTTGTTTTTAAAGCAATTCCAAATACCCTCATAAGCTTCCCATTCTATACTTAAAATCTGTTATTATCCTTTCCTTCCCAGTCATTTGACCATTCACACTCAATCCTCATACTTTTGCTGAATGCCCAATTGGCATTGGTTTGACCATGAAACCAACATCAAATAAAAAAATTTGATTCCATTCCATATGACAGTCATATGAGAACCCAACTATAATCTGAGAAGCACCGACTTCAAAAGAGTTTCAACCAAATTTGAAGACTTGAACTATTTTGGACTTAAAAAATGGAAAAAAAAACCATTCTCTCCAACTATGAAACTTTGACATCCGAAAATCAATTCTCGAAAAACATCATCACTTTCATTCCAATATGCAAACTAAAATCATTATCAACTACAATCGAACCAACATCAGGAATTCTTCATCACTGAACCATAAAATTCGACTAATTAGGAACACCCATCTTTCAATGACGAACCACAAACATCTACTTCAAAACATCGATTTTAACTTTTTGCGTTGACACTTTCCTTCACCCATCGAAACTGATTCTAATGTCATAACTTTAGATTTTGACTCAAACAAACAACTCTCACAATGCCAATTGTTTTCTTTGTTTGATCCCGATAAACAATTATCGATAAACTCCAAAATCACTTTCTCAATCAATTTGGAGATTAAACACACTAATTCAACAAATTCATCTTCATCGATGCACGTCATGTTCTTCAATGTCTTCAATCGTTCATTAATCGATCAAATATTAGTAAAATATCAATCTAATAGCAATGATCGATCTATGATTTCGATTCAAAGGAAATTAATGTATGAAATTCAAAATCAAATAAACACTAAATCAAAACAAATAAGAACACATTATTGCAACTTAAATTAAATGGAATATCACACAAGAAAGATACAAAAATAGATGATGAAGATAGGGGCAGACGCATGATTTCACAGTACGGATTGCACGGGAACGTTAGGGGTTGCACAACAGTAGAAAAAAATAAAAAATTTCGAAAATTTTCCACTGCATCCGGAAAAGTCAGGGGTTGTCGGTGCCACCCTGGACCCCCTAAATCCGCCCATGGATGAAGAATCACACAATGAATTAGAACTTCATGAGAATGAATATATGCAATTCAAAATTCAGATTTTATTCGTTTGAATGATGAGCAAATGAACCAAATGTTGAGAATCAATTTGACAGAAAGAATAAGAACAATAGATACGATGTGAATGAGATATACGAACAGAAAGAAATTGGAACAAATTGATTTAGATCGTGAATTTGGGCTCAAAAAGTATCCAATGAACAGTAACACTAATGAATTAGATTTTGGGCTAACTTGAAATTTGGACTGGCTCGTAGATAAATCGAATCAAATTTTAGGCTAAATCAAAAGATAATTGGATAAAAATGGAATTAAAAGCAAATAGATCGAATGAAGCGATTCACTAAAGAATTAGCATCTTTGATTCGATTACCTGAAAATATTGTCATTTAGGACCATTGATCTTGAAATAGTTGTTAAACCTTCAAGACTAAGCTCTGGTACCACATATAAGATCCCAAGGAAGATGATAAATATGGAATTAAGAATCAATGCATAATCGATAAGACCCGATCTAATGTTTAAGCATAATTATATAGATAATGGAGTATTACAAAAATGTAAAAGTATGTGCTTGCTTACTACAATGCTCTCTCTCTCTAGAAATACATTACTCATCTATATAATGGGAGCTCTCTCAAACATATACAATAGATACGATACAAGTATTTATAAGCTAGCTCAATCCATAACCAATATTAAATAAGGGAAAGCCTAAGACACCATCCAATGAAGAGCTTTGCACACTAACATGACTAAAGGACCAACAAAAAATGAAGAGCGAATGAAAGTTTGAGCACCGCCAACTGTTAAGAACTCCAACGGTATGATAGTCATTAGGAAAATGTGAGTTCAAGAGGCGATATCCAAGATATCTAGGACAAGGTTTGAGAACTCAAACCATGAGATAAACATGAAAATGGAGTACGATAATATTTCTAGTCAAGTCTAGATGAACCAGTCAAGCCTTAAAGATAAAAAATCAACAAAGTATCCAATATAATAAATATAATAACAAAAGTATGAGTATGAGCAAGAAAAAAGTGAATGAGAGAAAATGATTAACTGAATGATTCTTGATTTGATATTTCAAAGGTGAAAAGCGGTAAAGAATTACATGAGGGATGGTCTTATTTATACTAACATAGGACCAATCATATTAGGAGACATTTTTACTTAAATTTGATCACAGATCAACCACCTGACACATCGATGTGGTTGACCTTCGTCTCCTACATGCGCTACTGAAACATAAGACACATTACATTAAGACAAATAGTACTAACATAGAATCGCCCAATCTTCATTCTTCAGATTACACAAATCTTCCGACATCCATCAATCACATATCACTTCACTCAACACCATATTGGAAAATCAATTAGCTTGGAATTTGGAAATTCGAATTGCTAACGGATCACTAGTTTTGAACCAACAATCTCCCCATGAGTGATCTTGGCAATCAATGAGATTTTATACATGATCTCCAAAGATAAACGAATATGTCATTTGCAGTTAGTTCCTAACCTCAATCGACCAACTGATATGCTTGATTAACTGTTGCTTGATTAGTTTGGAAGCATTGGACTTAGCAGTTTTTGTGATAATTTTTTGAAGCACAATGGTGTAAACCAAGTGATTTTTTCTAGACCTAAAGAACTCCTGCATTTCCAAATTCTTCCTCTTGTAGATGTAAATGAGCATTGGTTTTGGAATAGGACCTTCGTCTAGCAAATCAATCTCTTCCAACTCAGTTTTAACTGGAGCAAGGAGATTCTTAGTCTTGAACAAGGAAGAAAAATCAAAGTATGAGAAACCAAATTCAACAATGTAATCTTTCAAGAAGTTTAGATCCGCAATGTAGACTCCAATGTTCTTTTTAGAGTCCTGATTGTCTTTAAGGTGAGCAGAAATCATTAGGACATCATTCAGATTGATGGTTGGAAAATCAACATTTGAGATTGTAAGGTTCTTCTGGGTGTTCTGAATGATGTAGTAGTTGTAGAGAAGACAATATTGTCACCGTTTTCCTCAGTACTTTCATCCCATAACCACTAGTTTGTGTGATTCTGTGTTTTGACCATACTTCTTTTTCAGGAAGAGCATTGTGGCGTAGAAAGTACATATGTGTTCTCTTTTTGTTCGGACAAGAATTTCTAGATCATCGGCCTAATGCCATGGAATGAACTTAACACAAAACCTTTCATAAGATGATCTTCGAAGATCAAGTTATTCCAAGTACGAGACAGGAAGATCATAGCTCATACATGGAATCATGTGATGTTCATGAAACATTCCTTCTGGATAGAATGGTGAGATCCTAGATAAAGGATTTGGAGAACCATTTATAGCTTGAACTCTAAGGCTTTATTTAACAGCCTTGTCGATTTATTCTTTTGGCCAGCCCTTGGACTTTCTTGACGACTTCATCGGGTTGATCGGACCAAATGAGATTCCATTTCCTTTTACCTCGATTGGATCTCCATGGGTGAATTCATGATCTGTTGGATAGTTGGAGTTACAATCACTTTGGAAATTGGTAAGACCAGTTCCAATTTATGAAGATCATCATCTTTCTTGTTTTGGAACATTGATCAATTTCCACAATTTTCAAAGAGGAAATAAGAAGTGGCCTTGGAATCATTTCTCGGAACGCATCAACATTATGTTTCATTTTGATTTTAGCCATCTACTTGCTGCATTTGAAAGAGTCAAATAGATTAGACGACTAAGCGTATGAGGATCATTTCTTTTTCTCTTTGTCGGAAAGGATCTTTTCGAATGAAGGTGGCTCTTTTCCAATTGAAGAGCAAGCATCACTTTTTCATCAGCAATGTCTTCATCATCTTCTCTTTCTCCAGATACTGTCAAATCATATTCATCTTCCTCTCCAATAGAATCATCCTGGAGTTTATATTTCAAGCTAGGTTTCCATCTTGTCATGATTGTTTATCCCCCTCTTACATGGAAAGGCCCAAATTTTGGTGCAAGCATCACACCATTTTTCAAATCTTCAAGCTTCTCAAAAACTTTTTGAAAGCTCAGATTCACCATTTTAGAGACATTATCATATGCATCGGCAATTGGAGCTTAAGCTTTGAGTGTGTCAACGGTTTCTTCCAAGATCAGAAATATTTTATCAAATTTGTAATTCAAAATTTCCACAAAATGCTTTTGTAGACCAAAATCCTTTAATGAGGACTTGTTTTATGACGAGGTACATCTATTCCTTTAATTGAATTTCCCTTTCGAAGCATTAAATTTTCTTCTCATGTCATACATATGTTTGCTTGATGAGCTCGTTAGTTGCCTTGACTAACTCGTCATGAACCGCTATCTTTTTTCAAAGTGTATCTTCATGATGTTAGATGAGTTACACATAAAGTTGTTCAGATTCTTCCCTTGTATGCTTAAGGAGGGAGATAAGTTGATCCAAATGTTTCTCTCTTTCTTTAATGGAAGGAATGACGGTCTTGATCTAAGAAATGGACTTCAGAACTTGATCAAATTTCGAGTCAAGAGCTCCAACTTGAGCATTCACATTTTCAACCTTTGAGTCAAATTTGAAAATTTGATCACTCATCTCAATCAGAGCAAATGGATCTGCTATATTATCATCGAAGGATACAATATCCGAATTGAATTCTCCTATGGAGTTCTCATCATCATCTAAATAGTTAGCATCATCATCCATCACTGCCACCAGGATGTCCTTTACTGGAAACATAAGCTTGAGGTGCTTTTTGTTGGTGTTCATCTCCACCACTACCCATATCCATGTCTTCGGAAGACGATTGGAAATCAAGGTCTATTTGGGGTTTGGAGGAAGAAGCTTGAAGTAATTGGAAGTTGGATCTTGAAGGAATAACACTTGAGATATCAATGTTTGCATTATCAAACAAAATCTGAACACCTGTGTCATCTTCATCATTTTGAGGAGGATCATCTGAAACCAAATTAGATTTGGGAACGTCTTCTTTAGCTTATTTATTTAACCGATGATGCTTATCTGAAATAGGATTTATAATGGTCACATCTACACTCGGTTCTTCAACAGCAATAACCTTCCGAGGAGGCTCATCCCAAAATGGGCTTTGAATTGGGCACATCTCCACTCAGATTCTTTTTAGCAACCTTGGTTGATGGATCATCCATATTAGAAGGAACATAATCAGAAGTGTGATCATCGGAAGCAGGTAGAAGAGCATCAATTTCGAAGTTGGTTGGACGCTTCATTGGAGGTTTGCTCCAGAGTACTCGATTTCTCATATCACGGATGACATATTCGATTTGTTATTTTTTCAGATCAGGTGTCAGAGCCGAATCTCATTCTTCATTAGCACACCCATACATCCTTTACTCATGGTGGGTATTGGTTTAGTTGAGGCTTCAGAGCTTGAAGGTACTACTTCTTGTTCGAAAAGCGTTGGATCTATAGCAGGAACCACAAATCGTGCTTGTAAAGAAAAAATTGGTTTAACAATAACACATGGGTGTGTTCCAGGAGGTATAAGGAACTTTATTCCTTGTCAACAATACCCTTTTGAGAGGCTGGGTGCAGATTATATGCAGACTCCACGTGAGTGTGTGTGTGTGTGTGTGAGTGATTTTGAGATATTGATGGGTACATCGGACGAATGGACGGGTGGGGTTAGCTGAGACCCAGATTCAGGTTGGACACCAATTTGTGAATCCTATTCGGAGGATTCACTGGTTTTAGTTCTCTTTTTGGCTTTGACTTTTGAAAAGGAAAGAGTTGGGCGCTTCTTGGATTTGATCCTAAGTCAACCTCCTTTTTATGATGATTTCTCTCCTTCCAAGGGGATGAAATTTGAGGTTTGGGTAGGAATTAGGGGGTCGACTAATTCCGGAACCTCGAGATGTTTTGCTTTAAAGGGAGAGTCGGGAGGGAGAGTGTCCATCATGTGTTGTGGAAGACGTCGGATGGGACCAAACTTCGTCCGATGTGGAGGTTTGTATGATTTAAGAACTTTAAAAGTACAATATATCTTAGGTGGATCCATACACAATGGAACAAGCTCACATTTATCCTAGTAGATTTGTTGGAGTGTCAGCGCCCAGAATCTTGGACTAGAAATCTCTTTCAATTTTCGACAAACAACAAATTTCCAAAAGTCTTGCCACGAGACTTCAGGAAGGTAAACGGAATTGGATCGTCTTATAAATATGTTGTAGAATAGGTGCAGCCAGTCCTTGCTCATAGAGTTGGAGCCTCCATTCTTGCTAGAAAGACCTTTCATCATGATGTGCATCAGAATTCTCCAAATCCCAAGAACTGCATATTGCTTGAACTCTTCCCCTTTGCACCTAATTTGGTTCAAAGACCCTTGAAATTTATCTGGAGTGTTTTCAACAACTTGAGTTCGTCTTGACTCATGAGAGTAGCAACTACATCTCTAACCATTTGGCTAATCAGGACATGAGGACCTTCTTTCACATATCTCAATATTTATTCACCTTTTTCTTTTCCAACCAAGAATCTCTCCATTTTAAGTTTCTAGTGATCATACTCTTTGTTGAAACAATATATTGTTTGGATCGATTGATTCTAAACAGAAAAGCAAGAACAATAATGTAAGGAACTCAAGAATGGCTCAAACGATGTCGAATGATTATACTTTAACACCTCAGAAGAGCTATATTAAGAACTTCGACTGTAGAGATGTTTAGGGTTACAATGTAGCTATTAAATAAAAGGAACAACGTACTTAATGCAATACATGCATGCACTATAAATAGCTAAACCCTAATCAAAACACAGATGGACAGGCCTAATCCGGATATATAAAATAAACCAAACATTAAGCCCAATGACGCAACTCTAATATTCAACAATCTCCCCCTTTACGTCAATTGAGGCGAGAGTTTAGTTCGGTTGAGCAACAGAAGATTTCTTGACAGTCTTGAACACGTTCGGTATAATGGCCAACAAAGTTTGACGAAAAGTGATATACCACCTAAGCATGTCCGTGAAATTCTTCTTGTCTGACTCTCTGTTCTGCTTACATCGGTGAATAATATCAAAAATATGCTCCAAGCAGTCAGTGGAGAACAAGTGCTTATCAACAAGAGCAAACAAAATAGTTTCACCTTTGGCTCTTTTGAACATGACAGTAATATTAGAAGAGTCAATTTGACCCAACTTCATTTTGTTAACATATCCAGGCTTTCCAGTAGGCTTCACTGTTAGTCTCTTCCTCATAACATGAGCCACATCTTGATCCATTTTTGCAACTTCAAGGATATAAGAGGCCAGCATCCTCTTAAGATGATTGAGGATCGGCTCATACTCCTTCGAAATTGTGAGCAAAATATTAAATAGTAAAATCCAATCGTGAGGATTTAGGTTAGGAAGATTTGCCAAAGAAATTGTATGGACCGAGTTGTCCAAACCTCTGGTTATCCGAAACTGAATATTGAAAATTTTCCAAGCAGGTGAGGGTTTCATCACCTTGACAATGGTTATCTTCTGAGCACTCCATGTCAGGTATTAAGGTTGACCAAACTTGAGATAGTAGTCAATAAGATCACGATCGACCTGAGGATGAGGAGAGGGAACTTCAACTGTTGAATCAAAACAGTGAAATACAAATGCATTTCTGGTTATAGGAATATCGAATTGAGAGTCCCTCGAGTTGTCACAATCAAAAGAGACAACAGGTTCCAGCCAGTACATGCTAGGAAACTCAATTGCTTCTTTGATCAGTCTTTCCCTAGTCCAAGGAGGAAACAGAGCCTTCTTGCAAACAAGAGCATCATACTCTTCCTTCTTCTTTCTTTCTCTCTCTTCTGTCTCTCTAGTGATACGAAGATTATCATCTAACTCTTTATTCCTTTGCTTTCGCTTCAGGACTTCAACTATCGATTCATTATCTTCATTACTTTAACCAGAAATGCCCTTCTTCTTATCTTGAACACCAGAACCCGAAGCTTCATTACCCTTCGGTTCCGTTTTGACAACAACTTTGGGTGGAACGGGAAGAGTTTTCACAACTTTCAAAACACCATCTGCCCCTTGTTGCGGAGTAACTATCGGCTATGTAACATCCTTCATATGGCTTAGGATTTCAACTGTCGGAAGAAGTTTGGATGTCAAATGATTCCTGATCGTGAGAGTAAGAATTGGATCATTAGCATGAATAACATTACTCAAAAGATTAAGAACATCAAAGGCACAACTTTTTAGAACTGCACGCTCAGTTTTCAATGAAACAATTTCCGTATCCGCCTGAGAAAGCAGAACTTTCTGAACTTCAATATGAGTAGTTTTGCAAGCCAGATCATCCATTATTTTTTTTCCATTGCCAAGTCAGTGTGAAGCTTCTCTAAGCGAGAATTAACTCAGCTAATGAGAGAATGGTTATCGGTTTGAATGTTAGACCAAACTGAATCAAAATTTGTTGTTTCTGCTTGAAGAGATTGTGAGAGGGAATCAACTGTGGCATTCACCTTAGTTGCATTCGAATCAGCATGACCCTTAATGGAATCAAGAAAGATCTTAGAATCTTGAATAAGCTCCTCCATATCAGTTGTTGCTTTCTTGCAGAGAGACGTGGAGCCATCAACCGCTTTTGTGGATTTATCAATGGAATCTGTATACTGCTCAAGAGATGTGTCCAAAAAGGTCTTCATAACCACATCATTAATCTTTGTTGAAGAAGCAATCAGTTGATCAAGCTTATCGTGAATACCCTACAGCTGTTGCTTTGTAACAGAAGCTTCATGATCTTCATCAGAGGGAAGTCGGTAAGGACTGTAATAAGTTGAGTCAAACTCAAAATTATAACCGCCGAGAGTAGGAGCAGAATCACTTGAGGGTGAGGGTGAGAGAGATTTGGGTGTAACCAGGGTGTCGATTTCAGTATTAGCCCCTGTATCAGATACGTTCACTATTACTAGAGAATTAGGTGAAGTTGTAGTGATTGGGGTAGTAATAGAAGCGGCTTAAGAAATAATTGGAGGTGGGAGTGGAGTTGTAGATATTGGTATTGTGCTAACTGGTGGAGGTGGGGGAATACCAGTAGCAATTTGACTTAAAGGAGTTTGTGAAATTGGCTGAGAAGAAACTGGTGGTGGAATAGGAGCAACCAAAACTTGAACAGTAGACTTCGGTGGAGATGGAGGAGGAGTGGGAACCTTATCGTGCATGTGTTCAGTAGGAGTTGGAGAACGAGGAGGTGTATTACCTCTTACAGATCCTTCAAGTTGAACTTCTTCTTCCTCATCAGCAGACTGCTCGTCATCATGACCAGAGCTAGAAGGATAAGGACTTTTTCGACGCCTTGCCATCTTCTTAATTTTCTTTGAAGCCAAGGATGCAGCTTTTTCAGCGTTTCGCTTCTTGGATTTGACAGGCTTAGCAGACGGACCTTCAGTTCTAACTTTCTTGGTATCTACCTTTTCCCCTTGCTTTGCAGGCTTCTCAATACCATCCAATTCTTCTTGCATTTCAGGATTTAGTTGTCTTGGACCCGTTGGAGGAAGCTTCCTATACTCAGTCATTACCTTACTTTCGCTTGACACACACCTGTACATTGTTTCAGGTATTGAACCAATGAAGGAAAAATTAGTTGCATCAGAGAAGATAATCTTCTTGGTGTGAAAAGTAGCCACATAGGAAAGCATAACATCAGTCATAATAGGAATATGAAAATGATCAATAGCCCTTCGAGTCACGATGGTCTAAAAACGACCACAGGAAATCTCTGAACGTCTGGTGGAAGAGTTGATACTTTGCACGAGTTGCGACCAGATAAGAGAACCATAATCTAGGTTAATACCATTATAGAGACCATAGAGAATGGTCATAAAACCTTTGCTGGTACCATCCAACCCATCCACTCGTTCTGCTAACCACTTTTTGATAAGAGTCAGTAACCCATTCCACTGCGGTGGCAAACAGGACTTCTTCATTTTTGTCACTGTAGTGAGGACATCCGTATAACCCATCTCATAGAACTAAAGCGTGCTTTAGAAACAGAGGTCTTGTGATTAAAGATCTCAAAATAGATGTGATCCTTGTTCTTGTGATAGGAAGAAGTAGTATAGACTTGTGACAACAGGGACATTGGCACAAATTCGATTTGCGTAAGAGCAATCACTAATGGGGAATACTTGAGCACCTCTACCACATGTAGCATGTAATGATCATACAAAAAAGGATTCAGTTAGATGATCAGATTTTGGTTGGGTTTGATAGGAAGCAAGTTTGAGGAAGGTGTATGATCTTGCATAGAAGATGATTCTGCCATTGTTGTAATAAAGAAGATGAATAGCAAACAATCGAATGTTGTATTGAGAGAGAAATCAAAGGAGATAGTGAGGTACAAGAGGTGTGACAAAACCTTTTATATACCGTTGCCAGGAGAGAATAAAACTTCTGTAATGACTATACACTATCTGAAACGTCACTTGAAAAAGCACGAATTGGTAGCTTGGTTTCCCCAGATAGATGTCATCACGCGTGGGTTTAGGAACCATTTCAAATTCACGCGCCCAATTTAATGCTTATCTGATGACTCGGTTCAAATTCTTATCCTCATATCGTCTCTTCAAAACAATCTTCAACTTGCAACATAGACAATGTTAAACATAGATCATTCTTTCGTTTTAACATAATCACTTTCGCTCCATACGACAAAGAGACATCAGTGCTGTCAGTTCCTCAAACATAAAACGTAAACGTGCCACTAGGACTAACACCATGCGTTTTGGAAAATCACAAGAATTTCTGTGCAAGAGTGTGTCAAAGATAAAGAAATAAAGCAAAATGTGTATAGCACGTGAGTGATGTATTAAGACATAAAGAAGATGATTTTGGGCATGAATCACTTCTTTCAAAGTCAAGAGAGACTTGAAGTGCTTGTGTGGTTTCCCGAGAAAATACAATCGAGTGTTTGTAAATAAACATCGAAAGGCTTCTTTTCAAATATTGGCTTTAAAATGTGGCTTATCGTGACAACCCGAAATTTCCATTCTGTACAAACCATATCAAGTCAATAGAAGTTAGAACAATAACAGTTAAGTTCCAGACTCTTGGGTATAAGTTTGACAGTTCTTCAGGATTTACACTTAAGGAGATATTAGGAGAGTGGATGCACTAGGGTTTTGTGCAACACGGTTATTCCAAAAATCTGTGATATTAGAGTTCAGTACGGGAATAAAATATTTTCTACCAAAAATCCCAGGACTATATATAGAAATCTGAACCATATTCAGTCATTAGTTACAATTCCAACTAGAGAAAAGCCAAAATCTCTCTCACGGATCTTCAGGATTTCATCCCAAATCGTGAGTACTTCTATCTAGTTGTAATATATAGCTTAGATTGTGCCTAATAACATCAAAATCGGATAAAAACCCCAATATTTGAGACTTTACCGCCCAAGAACACTTGGAGAGTAAACTCTTTTATAAAGGCCAAGATGTTCCCCATTGTCCCTCTAAGCCTTGGAACTCAACCTAGGAACTACCATGACATGTTTAGACCACAAAATCATTAAGAATCAAGGGTTGAAAGTGAGTTCACGGCCAAGGAAGTTATTGGGTCGTGAACTCCATTTTAGGTTGCCAAAATGCCCTAAATTCCTTCATTGAGCCAAGAGACTAGCATAACACATTACCTTGATGTTTCTAGGACCCAAAACAATCAAAATACCAACAACCATAGGTGTTCACGGCCGCAAACACATGACCAAATGGTCCATGGGCCAAAAACTCAAGTTAGGGGTGTTTTGATGCCACAAACACTTCCTAAGGCTTAGGCTTGAATTTAGACATGTACCCTAATGAGTTTAGGACTAGCAAACACCATTAGAACACCAAGAGTAAGGTGTTCACAACCCAAGAAGTTCCAGGGTTGTGAACTCCAAACAATAGTGCCAAATGGTGCTATAAACTCTTATAAAGCCTTGTACACTAGCATAGTTTAGTTCCTAGTTAAATTAGGGACTTGAAAACACCACAAACACCCTCCCAAGGGAGATTACGGCCGTAATCTCCAAGGGATATGGTCCCAGGGCCGTGAACTCCTCAAAGGAGTTAAAAGGACGCCCTAACACCCTAGTAAGCCTTGAAGCACTTCACCACTTAAGTTGTAATAGATTTTAGCTTCATTTAGAGACCCAATATAGAGTTTACGGCCAGGAGTTTACTCCCCTGGGCCATAAACTCCAACACACATGGTCCTAGACCATAAACTTCCGTATGAGGTCTTGCACTCCTTTGTTGCAAACCATTAGCCTCCTAGCACTTGACCAAAGTGTTTTCCTTGCGGTAGGATGTTTATACATGTTTAATTAGTGTTATAATCACTAATTGTTTATATACATATGTATTCATATGTAATTAGGACCATTGTGTGTGTCTAAAGTCTTCACTTGACACCTAACAGTCCTACCTCTTCAGTTCATCCGTATCACCTACAACAGGTGAGTTCATACCCCTTAATCAATGTTTTAATTGTTTTTAAATGTTTTAGGGGGGGGGGATACAAGTAGAATCATGTTAGTTACTATACCAATCACATGTGATTAGTAAATAGCATTCAAATGATTGGCTACTCATTAGCCGTTTTACCAAACAGTTTCCTTCAAATGTTTTTCATAAGCACTTTATGTGTTTAAAACTCCTTATTACACTGTACATATTACTTTGTATATTACATTTCAAACTTATTTACAATTTTGTTTCAAACAAATGTTTCTTTATACTAAACCATTTTATCAAACCTATGCCTTCAAACCGTTTTTTGACAACAAGTCAATCTTTTCTTAGATAATAATGATGTTCAAAGGTTTTACAAAACTTACTTTATGCTTTTATATTATAAATTGCATGCCTATATATGTATAGTTATACGAGGAATGTTTAAAAGACTTAGGAAGGGTATCCACCCTATTTCCTTTTCGCGCTTGAGATGTGGTCTGGTGGGATATCGGGTATCCGTCCGAAGGTCGTTTAAATATTAGTTATATATATCATATGTACATATATAGTCATAAAGGCCCTTCCAGTTCAACCAATGCCCTTGGGTAGCAAGGGTATACATCCATGTCCATACGTACCAGTTAGATTACTAATAAACTACCATATGGGTAGTTTAGGAAGATACTAGAACTATTACTATAACACGATATCATACAATGAGTCAGTTCATTCATGAGTCAATACTTGCTAGATAGAGAGAACATATATTACAACTAGAACATTTCAGTACATTACTATTCTTGCTAGATAGAGAGAGAACACACATTACAACTAGCACACGTAGAACATTTCAGTACATTACATATACATGAATACGTTGACATAATTGTGATCCACTGTATCGGAGCATGCCTTCAATGGCATGACTCGAGTTGTAGCCAGAGTTTCTTGGAGGGAGAGTGTGAGTTTGCGTATAGATATATATTGGATTGACTATCCTACACCTTGTTGCTAGCTATAGTCGGACCTGCAGGTCTGCGGGTGCCAAACGTCATACCTTTTTACGACCTACATTTGTCGTTGTTACCCAGTCGATGGTATGGTACAATTAATCACATGATGCCTTAATATAAATCCGGTTTAAGGTAGTTAGTACAACAATAGTTCTTATAGCACTACATTACAGTACTACATTAATTTTCCTTTTACATATATCTAGTGATTCTTTTCACTTAAAAATTAACTGTAAAAACTATATTTTGTTAATGATAGTTACACTTGGGAAATTTACACACTTTTACAATAAACGAACATTTAGAACAATTAAGTCTTGGTAGAAGGTTACATTCAAAGCAGTTAGGTCTTGGTAGAAGACACCTTTATATACTAGTAGGAATCATATGGATTTCTAGGGTTTTTCAAACATTTACAGTTGTTTTACAAAACATTTTCATACTTACATTTCATATACATTTTCAATACTTACAGTTCATATACATTTTCAAAACTTACAGTTCATATACATTTTCAATACTTACAGTTCATATACATACAAATACTTACATACAAAGTAAGACACTAAAATACTTATGATCTCACCAGCTTTAAAGCTGATACTCTCTTTCAAAATAACTTGTATCCTCAAGTCAACCATAGACAAGTACCGATGCAAGGTTTAGAGAAGATGGAGCTCGTTCAAGACTTATCTTTCATTTTGTTTATACTTTAGTGTCTATTATAATTTGATAGAACACACTTGTATTAAAATTATATTATTAATGCAATGGATGATGTTGTTGCTTGTTTACTACTTTTCATTGTTGTGATACTGTACATGACGTCCTCCGCCCCAGAACGTTTCCGCCGTTCATGGTTTTGGGGTGTGACACTTATCTTCAACCGAACTGCGAAACTTAATATAAGTCCGAAAGTTGGATGAAGTACTTGTGAGACCGATATGGTCTGTTGAACAAGTAGAATGCCTGGCAGACCAAAGATAAACAGGAAGAAATGCATTTCAGAAAGAAGTGACATACACACTCGTAGCAAAGTTGGGACCACTTCTAAATGTTGTTTATGTTCCCAACAAGGTCATAACAAGAGGAAATGTCCTCTGAAACAGCTTAATGCAGTAGATGATTCAGATCTCTTTGATTACCATGAGCTATTTGAGGGTGAGGGACAGGGTCAAGGGCAAGGACATGGAGAAGGATAGGGATAAAGCCATGGGGAAGTTGAGGATGTTGGAGTTGATTTAGAGGAGGAGGTTGGAGGTGATTCAGAGAAAGAAGTTGGAGGAGATTCAGAGGATGATTTAGAGGTGGAGGTTGAACAAGTGGAGGTTGAACAAGTGGTTGATGAAGAAGTGTTGAATCCTGGAAACCAGCATGTGGTTGCTCCATCTTCGAAAAGGAGAAAGTGTGGTCTTTCTCAGAGGAACACAAAACTTAGGTTGACGAGGGAAGTGGTTACCAAAGATGATACAGGGGGAAGTCTTGAAAATCCCCTCACACTATAGGAGCAGTAATGGGGACAACTTTTGTGAAGGGTATCTTTTGTTAGCTTTTGTCTTTGTGATCTTTTGTTAGCTTTAGTGCAGGAAATCTTTTGGTAGGGAATCTTTTGTTGGGTACAACTTTTGATGTATTGTTTACATTTAAGTCAAAAACTGATGAACGTGGTTTAGTGCAGGACATCTTTTGGTTATGTGTAATGTGTCTTTTGATAACTTGTTTATATTTAATGTATGTGGTCCCACTTTGATAATGTATGTGGTTTGGTAATGCGTGTGGTTAATATTTATGGACAAGGACAGGGACAAGGCCATTCCAATATGTGGTCCAACTTTTTTCCTAATATATAAACCAAAAATCATTAATTCCATTTCAATAAACACAATGACTATTAATCATGATTCATTAATTCCATTCATGTGTGAAGAATCAATATAAAACAATAATCAATAATTCCATTCCATTTCAGGAATCACTTATTCCATTCCTGTGTGAAAAATCAATATTAACCACGAATCATTAATTCCATTTCAATAAACACAATGACAATTAATCAGGAATCATTAATTCCATTAATGTGTGAATAATTAATATTAAGCAATAATTAATAATTCCATTCCATTTCACGAATCACTGATTCCATTCCATTATGAGCAATCAATATTAAACAGTAATCAATAATTAAGCGGTAATCAATAATTCCATTCCATTCCTTTATCAAAACTAAATTAATTTCCAAACATTGAATCAATTCCAATACAAGACTTTTAATTAACCAAACTTTTTAAATATATTACCAAAGTCATTACATTACAATTTTCATTTCATTTCAACATAACATACATAAAAAACATAACAAAGAACAACAACATACAACATTTGAGATTTCTATATTTCCTAGTTAATTTATCCAAATCTTTTATGAAACTCATTGATTCTTTATCTGCCTTCACCTTATGTGTTCAAAAATTATTTTCCAATATTGATATCTTGACTTCAGTGTTGTCTTCTTTTATTAGTTCTTCATCTTGATCGACCCATTCCCAGAAATCACATTTCTTCTTCTTCTTATCCTTCAATATACATGATAAAATTCACATAATAAATTAAGTATGAAGGAGAAATAGATGATAGATGCTAGAACCACTTACTAGTGAGTTACAACATACTCTGAACTTTCTACCCAGATTATTAGCCGTAGTTGAGGTCCAAACTTGCGAAGGCTTCTCACAGTGACAAGGGTGAGCATAATCAATCTTGCTCCTGCTCTTGGAAATGGTCGAATTTGACTTAGAATATTTTGATGAACTTGAAGATGCCAAGATGGAACCCTAATTTGATGGATGAAGGTTATTAAAGCACGTTCAATAGCTGACCTGAGATAACCGGTTACCTCAGGTCACTTTAAAAGGTGATTTGTATTTTGTTGGTATTTTTTGTACAAAAATTTTATTTTAATGATATTTTTTCACTAAGAAAAGAATAATTGTGTTTTTTGAACGTTTTTGAAACATTATTACATTTTTAAGTAATTTTTCCATCCTCTGGAAGCAATACGATGGTTGCGCGATATCGACAACACCCAAATTTAAATTCCCGCTTAACCAAATTTCATTTTCAGAACAAAATAACCCGCGAGTTCCAAAACACACAATCCGCAAACTCAAATTCTGCTCTCCGGTGGAAAAAAGAATCGGCTGAAATTCCGGCTCCAGCAACCGTCTCAGCGCTCTTCGCCGCATCTCCGAACTTGAAAAAGTGTGGAGGTATGATTTCCCTGATTTTTTTTTTGCTCAAATTGGACCATTTTTTAGGGTTAGGGTTTCGTTTTTTCGTTCTTCACTCCTCAGGATGGTATGATGCTGACTGCTGAGGAGGAAGGAAATCATTTGAGTTTTTGATTTTTGTTGAAATTAGGAAATTGATGTATAGATCAGTGCTTAAAGAGTACGTGGATGGCGAATATTTTCTATTCAATTTAGTTTGGAAATCAAAATTTGATCCTTTTGTCTCTGCTACATATCATTCGTGATTTCTTATTGTCTGTTTTTGTTAACCTTTTTATCTTAAGAAGATCATAAATAGAGGATGAACTTTGACTCAACTAATTTGGTCTTGTATAGTAGACTGGTTTCACTATTACCTTTCAACAATTTCTTAATTTATCAATTTTTTCATTTTCACCATAGATGTTTGATGCTCTTGAGTAATTTAGCTGTTGTTGATTTGTTATGCAGTTTGATCTGGTTCTTGATACTTTAAGTGTGTTCAAGTGTTGAGCTGTGACAAAAGGTTAAAGAACAGCAGCTTCTTCCTACAATCATGGCAAACTATTACGATATTGATGACATTCTAGCAGATGAAGAGGTTTAAACTCATTTCTTTTCACAATTCTTCATTCATGTCACTTTCAGAAAGTATGCAAATCTAATACATTGTCTATTCTTCTTTATAGCTCGTTCCAGCAGTATTCCTGGAGGCAGTGAATGGAGTTGGTTTGTTTGAATCAAATGAAGCAAACAGGGTAATAATTTCACATAATCTTCACTTCAATATGTTGATAACTAATCTTTTTTAATAAAAAAAAAAGTCAATATTTTGTAAAATCAGGTAGAACCAAGGTCAAAGGTAGAATTACCATTCTGGCTTGCAAGAGAACTGCACCTAAGACAAGCAGTATCTGTCACCATTCCTCCATGTTTCAATAAAAAGTAAGCTTGTGATTTTTATAAAAAGTTTATACATTTATAAGTTATAACAAATACTATAAAGCAATGAATAAAAGTATGTTTCTATATATATGTTAGGACTAGGGAAGAAATAGGGGCTGATGGTGCACATGTGGACTTAAGATCTCGAAGCTCATATTTCTATGAGTTAGGATGCAAGATAGTGCAACTGTGAGTATTTTTTTTGTTTCTTTTTATATTTGTGTTTAAAAAAAAAACAAGATTTATGTTTATGGTGTGAATGGATGACAGAATGGGTGACAAAAGCATTGGATCTTTACTATTGGTTGCTTTCCAGACAAGGTACAAAGAAGTCTTGATCAAGGCACATACTTCAGCATCATCACTCACCCCAAAATTTCTATCTTCATTAACAAAAGAAGAAACTAAATGTAAGATTTCCAAAAAATCATCATAATCATATATACTTTTATTATTATTATTATTATTATCATTTTGACTTTGTTTTGTGATTTTGAAGTGTATGATGCTGCTAAGTCATCTACTGCTGCATTTAAAACGTGGAGAATGGGTGGACCAAGGTTTCAAAAGGCTGCTGTTCTTGGTAGGAAAAGGAAACCAATTGGTGGGGAGTAACATTTTCTCCTCTTAATTGTTTTAAGATGTGGTGTTGAGTGTTTTCTACCAAATTAAAAGTTGTTGTAGCTTTGTTTGTGTAATTTCTATGTGTTCTTTTTTGTTTAGTTAATTATTGAACACCTTTTACATGAGATACATACAACTTGTTCTTCGTAATTTAGTATTATACATAGGTGTTATATGATTATTGAGAATTGAGATTTAAGGGAGACAAAATAGGTTACTTACGATAACTCCAAATGTGCTAAAACTAAAATTTATTTTGAAAAGAAAATGAAAAATGGATGATTGTAAGTTCTGATGTTTAAAAAATGCAAACTTATAGAGATAGTGTATGCAGTAAATTAGACTTTTGTGTAGTTTTTGTAATTATCCATAAACCTTGAGGATGGTTAATGTATATAAGTATATAAGTATCTTTGCTAAAAAGGGAGGAGAACACAAAGGGAAAGTTGTCAATTGTTAGGTCAAGTCCCCAACTATCACCAACCCATCAATGTTAATTTACCAAAAAGCCCCTTTCGTTTGTTTCTTAAAAAAAAAATCGCCCAAATTGTATGATGTTTAGTAAAATTGATTTTTTCTTTATGTTTTTTAGAAAGAAAATAATCAAAATATTAAAAAAGAAGAAGAAGCCTCTATTTCGCAATGCATTTAAAACGAGGGCAAAATAGTCAATTTGGTTGTGTGGTGCACTTGTCATATTGTTGTTACCTTCGGACCCCCCAAGAAAACTCATATTAACATCGCTTACTTCCTCGTTTTCCTTGTTATAAGCATTAAGCAACGTCTTCTTCTTGCAACCCCCGAAATCTCTCTGGTGTAAAGAGTAATCCTTCATTTTCACACACAGAGATCAAAGGAGAAAACTCTCGAAACGATCTCAATGGCGTGTGCTAGTTTCACCAAGTTAAATGCGTCTTCTTCACAGTGGATCGGTCAGCAATCCTTCAATCAACGTCCGGCATCTTCTTCACGGTTGCCCGTCCGTCGTGTCTCAGTCGTTCGTGCTGGATCGTACTCCGAGGAACTTGTCAAGACCGCCGTGAGTTTTTCTACTTCAGATTTTATTTTCGATTGGTTTCCGTATATTTTTTTTTTTTTGCGAGAATTTTGAATTTCGATCTTTTGTTTACGTTATTATCGGAGGATCTGATCATAGAATGTTGCTGTTGGTATATAGGGTTTAATTTCATCGCAACTGAATTAAATTCGTTTAATCACACTGTTATGTTGACCTTTTAGTATCATGAACAGCCATCTCACATATACCTGTTACTTACACATTCGCGTGCGCAAATTTTTGTTCTCATTTCGTAAATCCTAAGCACAACATAAGTATAACTGCACTTGACATGATTGGCTTTTTAGTTTGCTCTTGGATTTTTGCATGGGAAGGTGAGATGATGTGTAATGCCGATAAGCTATCATGATAACGAATTAAACTCTGGTGATAACTGAATAGACATAGTTTGTGGCTCCATCAGCTACTAAATTAGCTCACTTTGACATTTATGTTCAAACGCATCATCTTTTTGGCTCATCATTAGGTTGATCATGGTTAGGTTTAGATGAATTGTACCAAAATTGAAGAAAATCAATGATAACCACATTAAAGTATGCACTATAAGCTTACCCAAAGAATCAATTAAAGCTATAAGCTTAGTAAAGATTAT